TCAAATAACTATTAAAAAATAAAATCACATTTAATTGCAATGAAATTCAAGTCACTCTATAACATGTAATATAAATAAAACAAAAAGTAAAAATGTAACTATAACCATGTTTGATTAAACTCACAAGTTTGCAAGACGGATATTCAAATATTCGAGCTCAACATGATAATATATACATGAATAACTCGAATTCAAGTTCTACTGAACTTGATTGGAGTCAATTTCGTTGGCTCGACTCACTTGTCATAGCTTTGATGCTTAAGATAAGAAAAATAGAAATAAGTAAATAACCCTACATGTTTTGAGTTATTTCATCGCCATCCCTTTCCTAAAAAGAGAACCAACAGATCTATAAGCAAAAAGGAAATTTGAACATTCACTTTCACTTTATTGACATTTCCCTACCTAACCCATTACTTTCTAGTTTCTATGGTCTAACACTAGCATGATTTTGCTCATTTCACAAAGCAACAGATCAAGACACTTTTGAACTTAAACCCATGACATGTGTTGGTTATTGTCGGGCCTTTTTTTTTTTTTTTTTTTTTTTTTTTTTGAATTGTTTGTTGTCTTTGTGATTTATGCCTGTTATGAGTCATGGTGGTTGTATCATACAAAGATGTTATTACATATAAAAATATATACAGCAAAAGACACAAAATATTGATACCACGATATATAAAGGGAACAAAGCTGAAGGCATTTACACCATTGTTTCATTCATTTTACCATGACTTTGAAATCTTCTCCGTATATTTCAATCATGGTAATCGACAATTTATTTGCTTATGCTAAAGATGGTAAAGACAAGAGAAGGGTAAGTTTGGGTAAAGGGCATAATGGTGAAATAGGTGTTCTCTGTCGTAATTCCTATGGCCCAGTGGAAGCAAGTTTAGCAACAAGAGCAAGAGCATTACTAGTAAAATAAGTGACTCTTTTGACTCTACTTCCCAACAACTTAATTTGTTTCCCTTTTTGCCCTTCAAACCCATCTAAACAGGTTTCTTCATCAGTAAGTGCACTACTAACCCAAGTAGTGACATCCTCCATCTGTGTCTCAAATGTTACAGCACTTATTTGTCTAAGCACCCCTAATGATTTGTGAAGGTTATCCAATGTGTCTTGAAACACATCCACACAATCAAAAACCGCAACCCGATTTCTTCCCTTGAAGCGATTCTTCTTCTTTAGTCCTAATAAATACCGAGTCGTGTTCTTCGTTTCACCTATGGTGACCGAGACACCCGCCCGGGCCCACTTACTCGGGTCCCGTTTTGCAATGTTTGAATACGAAGCAAGAGAGTGGATACAAAGATCCTGATATGTTGTAACATTACAAGCATCTACAACATAACCACTATCTCCAGACGCCCATGAGTACCATGGGGCTATTAGCCATGATAGTAGTAGCAACATGGATGTTACTAAAATAGCCATTGAAGAGATTGAAAAAGCTTGGAACTATTTAAAGGTTTTAAAGGGTATTCCTATTCTTAGTTCAAAAGATGGAACAATGGAAACATAATATATATAAAAGAGAAAAAGGTTTTTTGGTGAGGTGGAAAGTAGTGTTAAGAAACTCCTTTTTTGTGTTTGTTAGCTATAAAAACAAGAAGAGGATGAGGGCAATAAAGAGTGGTAAGTTGAAAGAGATGGGGTTTAGGGAATCATGTGAAATGAGGTGGACATGTCATGAATTTTGAAAGAAGATGAAGTGTTAGGATTCTTCTATGATATTCCTTTCCCCTGTGATCAGTGAAGAACATAAAGTTAGCACTTAGCACACCATCAAAATCGATACAGTAGATCTTTTCACAAGAAAGCAGATATAAAGCATTAAATGAGGATCGAATCCAAAGAGTGCAGATTGGAAAAGTAGAGAGAAGGTAAGAAGTTTATACTTTATATGATGAGAAAATCTCATAATTATGATGAATTACATAATCAAGAATATATATGAGCTCTCAGTATAATTAGGGAAAATAGATCAACAATTAATCGCTAGCTTTTCTAGTTCTTCATCAGACAGAATTTTTAAGAATTTCTTCAGAAGGGACTTCGAGTGTTGCTCCTGCATGATCCTTGCTTGGCTTCACTTCTGCAGTTATAAATAAATAACGAAATTATTTATCAAGTCAAAGTGGATTAGTTGATACCCATAACTATAATAATCTCATACCAGGGGTTCCTCTAAGCTACTTAAATGCTAAAAAGAAGCTGAACTTGTAAATCTTGAATAATTTTTCAAGTCATATTTATAGGATGAAATTACTTTCAAGTAGCTAATATGCAACTTTTATAATCATCACACTTAATGCATGGTTTCATAACCATCGTCGTTGCAAAACTCATAAAAAGAACATTTCTTCAACAATAAAATTATATAATTTTCCCTTTCTTTTTCCAAAATTGATTTTGCAAATCACAGTTAATCCACATGATTACAAAAATAAACTGTAATAAATTAAGTAAAGGAACAACAATGGTTCCCAGGTACAGAAGGGCTGTCTCCAAAACAAAATTAAAAAGGGGAAGACACCAATCTACTTGCTCATTGCAGCAGAATCGGTATCACTAAAATCTTGAAACCCTAATTCAACTAAACCTGTATTACTGGTTTTGAATAGTGGCTTATGAACATGGACTAAGATGCTTAAAATTCTATAGCTTCCTTCTGTAATTGTTTTTACAGGAGTTGGTAGGGTAACACTTGAAGGATCCATTTCAAAGAAAATGAGATTCTATGCGGATATCACAGGTTAAACCTAGAAAACCAGAATTTTCGAATTGCAATTGGATCATGAACTCACTGCTTAATTAAATTATTCTTATCCATTTCACATAACTAATTATATGATGTACTATTATTTACGGCAAATATTATAATGTAGCAATCACGGAAATAATCAGGAAAACCTATCAGAAAGAGCTCTTAACATTGCAATCTAAGATCGTAATCATATCACGTCTACATCAATCATCGAGCTTCTAGTAAAGCGAACACATGAATAGCAACTAAAAGCATAAACTAGATAATGTGGAAAACGGTAATTCATTGTATATTCACACGGAAGAATGTGACGAAAAAAATAGTGTAATGATACCGTAGCCGCCTCGGGAATTGAGTTTGGCCTGAACAATCATGTTAGATATGAAATCAGAGGCTTCGCGTGCCTCGTCGAGGAGTTTCCGAATCTCCGGTTCGGCGGTCAAGTGACGGTTCTCCTCAAATTTCTTCCTCACCTCGGCCGCCGACCCCTCGAGCATCACGGTGTCTCCGGCGAATGATTTCCGAGTCGCTCTCAGCAGCCCTCTGTAAGCTGTCAAGGCTTCCGCTGTTAATCCCCTTGATGCCATTTTTGCTCTCTATTGAGTTGTTATTCTGCTGTAGATCACGACGCCGACCAGCGGACTCGAAGAATACATGAAGCGACGACGACGATTAGCTTTTGGCAATTATCTTACAAACCCTACCCTCGTATTCAATCATATTTACAATTCAGACCTTTTAGGTTCTCATAATTGAAACTGTCTCCTTAAAATAGGAAAATAATAAAGAGAAAACTAAGAAAAATCTAATATATTTTTATTAAATCTTTAAAAAAAAACATTATATTATTTTTTATACGTTAAAACATTTGTATTTTTTAAAATATAAGGTTTCAAGTTCGGTAATACTTAAATAGCCAAAAATACTAGGTAATTGATTCTCAAATGTTTGATGATAACAATCCAACATATTGAAAATTTTCAAAAAATATAATGCTTTTGATGAACTAAAAAAAATATTATAATGGTTTATTTAATGCTTAGATGAAAATAGATTGAGTTTATTTAAGATCCAAAAGACTTAAATAATTTTTTTTTTAAATATAAAGGTTTTAGTGGACTAAAAATTAATATAGTGATTTTTTTAAGAATTAGATGAAAATATATTGGGTTTTTATGAAGTTTTCCCAATAAATAAATAAAAACAGCGAGTTTTATATTTTTTTTTTACGAAAATCTCCAGAAAAGTCCTAAAATTTTAGTCCAATTTATGAAAAAATCCCAAACTAAATTTTATTTACAGAAAAGCACAGAATACCGGTTAAAACTTCGAAAAAACCCTTTTCGGTCGGTTTCGCTGATTTTGCTGGAATTATGTCATTTTTCGTTAGTTTACTCAAAATTTTGGGATTTTTCCAAAAATTACATAATAACCAAAATATTGAGACTTTTTTGAAAATTACCATGAAATTAATGGATATTATTATTAACAAATCATTTATAAATATAAAAAATATTTTTATTATAAAAAAGAAAATACATTTGTTGCTAATTTCTAGGAATAAATTGGTGGTCTAAGTACTCTATTGCTTCCTACGTTCTTTCTATGCATTGTTGTGGGTATGATGGTGAAATGAACTTAGTTAGCATTCCTCTAATGTTGGTGTTCCTCTTATGTTGTTTAACCTACCTAGAAACAAACGGTTATACCTTACATGTTAACAACCATCAGCTAATACACATCTATAAAATATGAAAAGTGAACCGTGAATGATAATTAATATGGAAACAACTGAAGGGTTGTTATCTATTTAAATAGTCATTCAAAGTTTACTTTTCACTCTCGATAGATGTGTGTAATTTTATAGTTGTTATCATATAATGTTTGGAGGTTAGGTGGTAGTTAGGTTAAAAAATATAATGAAAGATCTATATATTTGTGTAATGATATTTTCTAATAACATGTGATTATATAGCATCATGTCTAATAGAAAGTAAACACTTATTGATTGTGTATTAATAAATATTATCAACTCTTGTATTGGTCACACCTAGCAGAGTATTTCTCACTATGGCACCCACAACGATACATAGGAAGAACATCGAGACTTTGAAGTGGTCAACAAACAATCGAGAAGTACATAGTCAACCATTATATTCATAGAAATTAGCAACAAATGTATTTCCTTTGTTAAAAAAAAAAAAAAATGTTTATAAATGACTTGTTAATAATAATATTCATTAATTCAATAGTAATTTTCAAAAAAGTCTCAATATTTTGGTTATCGAGTAATTTTCAGAAAAGTCATAATATTTTGAGCAAACTAACGAAAAGAGATAGAATACCGGTTAAATCTACGAAACCGACCAGAAAGGGTTTTTCAAAGTTTTAACCGGTATTCTGTGTTTTTTTGTAAACAAAAATTAGTTCAGGTCTTTTTCATAAATTAAACTAAAATTTTAGGACTTTTTTGGATATTTCCTTTTTTTTTTTTTACTTTTTTTACTTTTTTTTTTTACTTTTTTTACTTGCATAGTTGATGCACAATATTTACAAATTACATGCTTATCTTTTTATCACTGACATCATATATCATTATTCTGGTTCACTATAAATTTAATGTGATAATAAGTTTTAAAAAAAAAAATTAAAACAAAAAAATTGCCAACATTCAACCAATGTTGTCATGATCGATTATGCAAGACATTTTCCACTTTGCAATATAATTTACAACATAGTGATCATGAGACTAACAAAACAAAATAGTTATGTTTAAAATATAAAAAGTCCGTCTACATCTATCTGCTCGCAGATTATAAAAAATTAAAATGACCGCTCGCAGAAAATAAAAAATTAAAATGACAAGATAGAAAACAACAGTAAATTAGACTTTAAAGTTTTTAGGAACCAAAATTTGCAGTGGCACCATGGCCTAAAGCAAAAACTATACGGTATTACATACTTCATAGTTTAAAGTGGATTAAGTAAAAACACACACACACACACAGCAATCAAGTGTAGGACTTACAATTGCAGAAAAACAAAAAGAAAAAGAAAAAACAAAAAAACAGCCGATTTCAAGATTAATGAACAAAGGTGCGAGGCCATATGGAGCTTCGTATGATCTGCAATGTTTGATTCCAAACTGAAGGGACAAATTTTTAAAGCTCGATTTCAAGGCACATGAACAAACATTTTAGGCTCTACGTTGGACTTTTGAACTGATATAAGGTCGATTTCCTAAGGTTCAAAAAGATGTTTAAAGTTTACACTTTTAGCCGCTTAAATACAAAATTAAAGAGAGGAGGTAAGAGGTGCGAGTATATTTATAATCTTATGATTCTACATGAGACACTATAATATACTTGTTTTAATTCACTTTATAGATATCTTTATTTACACGTGAATTAACCAATCATTTATTTGTAGTGACACGGTATAAGTAACATCCACATTCCACAGAATGAAAATCTAAAATTCTATAAATGAACGGGGCTCAAGTATTTTTACTCTCATAAAAACAACAAAATCATGAAATTAATTAGCTGAATATACAAGTAAATAGAAACAGAATCATAAAAAGTCCCTCCTTTACAAAATCACCAAGCTTAAGTTTTTATTCTCAATCTTCTTCTATTGTGTCATCAATAAGGTTACATTACATACACAAAAATGGACTAAAGTGGAAGATATCAGGAAATCCTTCCCCATCATAATAAGAGTTAAATTAGGCATCAATAATAATAGTCAGTCACCTGTTCCTGTTTTGTGGCGATTTATACTAATCCTCTTAATATAAAAGCTCGTGTCTTCAAGCAGCATCAACCATTCTAAGCTCATGTTTCTTGCGTCGACACCTGTGATGAGCTTTTTGCAATGTATTCTCACCAATTATCTCCATACTTTGTGCATCTGATGCAAAAAATATAAGACATTACAAGACCATCAGGAACTAGTGTCAAAAATATTTCTGCATTTGCAGCATAAAAAAAAAAAAAAAAAAAAAAAGAGCAAATGTATGATTGATGATAGTGTCGAGTATCTTTATGATGTTAAAAAATATCAGCTTATGACACTTTCATTATATTTAAACAAATGAGTCACCAATAAAAAGGTATGCTGGCCTAATATGTTAAACATTATGGACTAAGCATGTGGTTTGTGACATTGAATAGGCCCCTGTTGATTTTCAAATGATATACAAGGAAAAAGATACCATATGCTACTGCTAATACGCTAAATCCGTTCACGAATGGTGAATGGTCATTCATGTGGATAAAGTTCATATCTTGAGAGTTAAATCTGCAGATGAAATAGAGATGGCCCTTTAAATTGTTGGTACTGGATAACCACGGCTGGCTGATGAGATGAGTCTATTCTTTTGTTTCTCATCATAATGACATGTTTTTGGTCTCAATAGGTTCACGCTGAATATTGAAACAAAGGTCAAGGACTCAGGATTGTATATAAGTAAACAAAGGACCTTAACATCACATGCATCCTGAACACGGATTGTGCTAACAACAACTGTAAAGATAGGAAATGAACAATGTACCTCCAAATCTATTGCCCCAGAACAACAACCTTGGATCATCCTCTTCTTCGTCCAACTCATCACCATATCCGAACTCAGCATCCCCTCTATAACCAGGTTCACTCCCGTACCCTGATTCATTACCCTGATTATCCAAATTCCCATGATGATGATGTAACCCCATATAACTGTTTGATATCTCTCTATCTCCACCACCACTACTCTCTCTGCGCAAATTCCTAGCAGTTGCCTCACTTGCATCCGAAGTCCAATTCACATCCCCTCCGCCTCCACCATTCACAAACAACTCCCCACTGGAATCCGTCCCGGCATTATTCGCCATCATAAAATCTGAACAGGTACCATACGCATTCGAAGCACCAACTGAACAACACCTCCGCCGTGTCCCACTCCTATCACTACTCCTACCAGAAACAGACCTTGATCCACGTCTTCGCCTCTTCTTAGCCATCCAATGGATCCTCTCGCGCTTCGATTTCACAGACGATCGGGAACCATCGTCATCAAATAATGACAACTTAGACATATCGAGGTTTTCAATAGCGAACGAGGTTGCCCGATCGGAGAGGCAAGGCCGCTTGTGAGGTTTAGCAGAAGATGTCGGGTTATTATTGTTGATGTTATCGGATTTTTCTAGGGTTTTGTTGAGTGTGGTGGGGAGATGAAAAGGTCTCCAGCTATGAAGCTGGAACGTGCAGGTATCTATGGCATGACGCGAACTTCCTATAGTTCTTGGTGACATTGACGTAGACGACAATGGTTGTAGATCAAAATTAGGGTTTGGGAATCGGGGAATTCAACGGTGAAATGGTGAGAGGAACACAAGTAGGATTTCTCTCACCTTCCGGATAAAATGAGCAAGCCCCTCAACCAGACGCACACATAATGTGAGTCGATAAACAAGCCCCTCAACTTTGAAACACTGTGTTGAAATGCTCCAAAAGTTTACAACAATGAGCTAAAAAGGCTTTTATTTGCAAGAATAAAAGGGTTGTTTACTTTTTAGGTAACCTTAATGAATGTCTTTAAATGAAAACATCATGTTTACGAATGGTTGTTATTTACCTTGAATGAATATGTTTTTAAACAAAAAACATGTTGTTTGATCAGGTCTATGAATGATTGTGATATCACATGAAATTTGAAATTCTAAACTATTTTATAATGAATGA